AATCATCGAAACAGTTCAGTGTTCAACTCAATACAGCAATGACTTGCCTTTTGATATTCATATATTCTCTGTTATGATATCTTTCCAATAAATGGATAGGTCGTTATATTGTGGTCAGTGCAACAGATCGATATCTGATCACAGTACAAATGACTTTTTCAGATTCCAGACAAAATTACAGCCCATCATATTGGCCATCAAACTACTCCTAGCCTTGATAAGAACTAAATAAGAAATGCAATAAAAACTATTATTCACAATAAAATACAATTTCCACCAACAATTAAAGCTGTATCAGTAAGTCTAAGCAATGAAACAAAATGCTATCACATCAACCTTGAAAGATATTACTGCATATTAAATCAACATTGCCTTCTCCATAAAAATTACAAACCCTACACTATCCGCTATCTTTATTACTCGTATAACAACAACTTGCATTTATGTAGCGCTCCTCACGCAGGGTAGGGTCCCACAGTGTTTGACAGTGCACAATGCTGAGCCGGTGGGAGGTGACCATAGGCACAATCAAAGAGGAAGGTCTTCAGGCACGATCTGAAGATGGGGAAGAAAGGGGCAAGGTGGAGAGACAGAGGAAGAGAGTTCCAGAGATTCAGGGAGTAGTGGCTGAATGCGTGGCCACCGATGGTGGAACGGAGGCCATGAGGGATATGCAGGAGGCAGCGGATAGTGGGTTGGGGGGTAAGCAGGTTTGAGAGGTAGGGAGGTGCCAGGGCATGAAGGTATTTGAAAACAAGTGTGAGGATCTTGAAATCGATCCGTTGGAGATAAAGAGCCATTGGAGCCTGGCTAGAACTGGTGTGATGTGGGTATGAAGTTTAGTGCAGGTGAGTTTTGGATCAGCTGGATCTTGTGCATGGTGTAGCTGAGGAGACTGGAGAAGAGGACATTTGAAAAGTCAAGTTGGTAGGTGACATACGCATGGACGAGTGTTTCGGCTGGTCTGGGGTAAGGTATTTCTTTCTTTGACAAAATTAGGTGAAATGGAAAATTCCAAACACAGGAGAGCTTACCTATAAAGATTGCACAGCAGTTTAAAGTGAACTGGATGGTGAGCTTTGGTATAGAAAATTATTTTAAAATTATTTAAAGCAAGAAATAAAAAAAGATTAAAATAATAAAAAGATGTGAAGCATAAAAAAACTGGATGCCTTCCACATACTTAATTAAACAAGATGCAGCAGTAGAGAGCTACAATACTGATTGCTAGTACGGCACTGAGGGAAAACAATAATCCTAACATTTGATATAGCACCTTTCTGTCAAAATGTCTCAAAACACTTCACAGTATTTTTTCTGTAAAGTGTATTTGTAGACAAATGTGAGAGCTAATTCACAGTTAGTAATAGCCACAAACAGCCACAAAACCAATTTTATCTAGGGAATTGTTGGCCACAGCATCGGAAAAGCTTTCTTCTCAAACAGTGACATAGAGACTTTAAAGTCCACGCTGAACATGTAGATAAGATCTCGATTTAAGTTTGATCTGAAGAGTGGCTCTTTCGATAATGTATCACTTCAGATAATGCACCTTCTCCTCCCACCACTGCATTGCAGTCTCATTACAAGGATTGATCAGCTATCACAACAAAAACAAATGCATGGCAGTTATAACTCCTAAAATTGCATCATCAATCATCCAATGTGGGTGGGGGTGGGGGGGGGGAAGGACTGGAACATGGGTTAGTCACTGTATTTTGACAAGCAGGACATGAGTTTGAAACTCTAACGAGTGAGATGAAAATCTCTTTCTTTTGGGTCACAGAATCTACTGTAAAGTGGTTTGCACTGTATATTTTTGTTGGTGAAACGCGACAGCCAGTTGAACACAGCAATGTACCACAGGGAACCATAGTGTGAATGACCAATTTTATTTTGCCGATTGTTGGCCAGGATACCAGGAGAAACTCACTGCTCTTTTTGAATAGTGCCATGGGATCTTTAACATCCATCTGAACAGGCAGATGGGAGTTAACAGGTTTAACATCTCACCTCTGATAAAGCAACAACCCCCAGCACTGCACTGGAGTGTCAGCTTAGACCATGTGATTCCATAGCTTGAACCCACAACCTTCTGACTCAGAGGTGAGAGTGCGACCATTGCTCCAGGCTGACACACAACTCAATCTACGTAGGATTCTTAGCCCAAAAGAAAGAGGATTTTCATCTCACTCGTTAGAGTTTCAAACTCATGTCCTGCTTGTCAAAATACAGTGACTAACCCATGTTCCAGTCCTTCCCCCCCCACCCCCACCCACATTGGATGATTGATGATGCAATTTTAGGAGTTATAACTGCATGCATTTGTTTTTGTTGTGATAGCTGATCAATCCTTGTAATGAGACTGCAATGCAGTGGTGGGAGGAGAAGGTGCATTATCTGAAGTGATACATTATCGAAAGAGCCACTCTTCAGATCAAACTTAAATCGAGATCTTATCTACATGTTCAGCGTGGACTTTAAAGTCTCTATGTCACTGTTTGAGAAGAAAGCTTTTCCGATGCTGTGGCCAACAATTCCCTAGATAAAATTGGTTTTGTGGCTGTTTGTGGCTATTACTAACTGTGAATTAGCTCTCACATTTGTCTACAAATACACTTTACAGAAAAAATACTGTGAAGTGTTTTGAGACATTTTGACAGAAAGGTGCTATATCAAATGTTAGGATTATTGTTTTCCCTCAGTGCCGTACTAGCAATCAGTATTGTAGCTCTCTACTGCTGCATCTTGTTTAATTAAGTATGTGGAAGGCATCCAGTTTTTTTATGCTTCACATCTTTTTATTATTTTAATCTTTTTTTTATTTCTTGCTTTAAATAATTTTAAAATAATTTTCTATACCAAAGCTCACCATCCAGTTCACTTTAAACTGCTGTGCAATCTTTATAGGTAAGCTCTCCTGTGTTTGGAATTTTCCATTTCACCTAATTTTGTCAAAGAAAGAAATACCTTACCCCAGACCAGCCGAAACACTCGTCCATGCGTATGTCACCTACCAACTTGACTTTTCAAATGTCCTCTTCTCCAGTCTCCTCAGCTACACCATGCACAAGATCCAGCTGATCCAAAACTCACCTGCACTAAACTTCATACCCACATCACACCAGTTCTAGCCAGGCTCCAATGGCTCTTTATCTCCAACGGATCGATTTCAAGATCCTCACACTTGTTTTCAAATACCTTCATGCCCTGGCACCTCCCTACTCTCAAACCTGCTTACCCCCCAACCCACTATCCGCTGCCTCCTGCATATCCCTCATGGCTTCGTTCCACCATCGGTGGCCACGCATTCAGCCACTACTCCCTGAATCTCTGGAACTCTCTTCCTCTGTCTCTCCACCTTGCCCCTTTCTTCCCCATCTTCAGATCGTGCCTGAAGACCTTCTCTTTGATTGTGCCTATGGTCACCTCCACCGGCTCAGCATTGTGCACTGTCAAACACTGTGGGACCCTACCTGCGTGAGGAGCGCTACATAAATGCAAGTTGTTGTTATACGAGTAATAAAGATAGCGGATAGTGTAGGGTTTGTAATTTTTATGGAGAAGGCAATGTTGATTTAATATGCAGTAATATCTTTCAAGGTTGATGTGATAGCATTTTGTTTCATTGCTTAGACTTACTGATACAGCTTTAATTGTTGGTGGGAAATTGTATTTTATTGTGAATAATAGTTTTTATTGCATTTCTTATTTAGTTCTTATCAAGGCTAGGAGTAGTTTGATGGCCAATATGATGGGCTGTAATTTTGTCTGGAATCTGAAAAAGTCATTTGTACTGTGATCAGATATCGATCTGTTGCACTGACCACAATATAACGACCTATCCATTTATTGGAAAGATATCATAACAGAGAATATATGAATATCAAAGGCAAGTCATTGCTGTATTGAGTTGAACACTGAACTGTTTCGATGATTGATGAATGATGTTGGCCCAATGAGATGCAAAAAGGGGTGACCTCTGCACTGCGGCTTTCAGTTCTAGTGTTTGCGTACTCAGCTATTAAGTGCAATTTTTAAAAATTTTGTGTAATTACTGTTCTGTTTTTCTCCCCATTCACATCTCCTTCTGCCCTTGTCCACAGCCTCCTTATACCACCAGTCCCACAAAAAAATGGTCACACTCCAGTGCCCGGCTGAAGCGACCGTTTTTCCTGTGTGAAAGTTGTCTGCGAATGTTTGCAGGCCAATTGACTGCAGAAAGGAATACAGATAAGCCTAACCTCTCCCTACCCAGCTGCCACACATGTGCATTACCAATGCATAGTAGGAGAGTCCTGTAGTGTAGTGGTTAGAGCACACCTCACAAGCAAGGGACCTGGGTTTTGATTCCCGGGCAGGGCAAAACCTTAGGCAAGTTTCCTTATTCCGAACGCCTCTGTTTAACTAGCAGTAAGTAGGAACCCAGTTGTTAGTCGATTAGCAGATCACTTTCTTGGGGGTAATAATCCCTTCAAAACATTTTTTTAAAAAATAATAATTTGGTGACTCAATCCACGACTGTTTCTGGGACACTGCTGTGCGCAATTGTCTACCACGTTTTACCCACAAATATACAGCCATTTCATTTTTGAATATATTCTATGAAGCGCTTTGAGATGTCTCGAAGACATGATAAGGTGTTATATCAAATGCAAGGATTATATTATTATTATAGGGGTGTGTTGTATTGTCAGAGGTGTCGTCCTTTGGATGAGATGTTAAACTGAGGTCCCGTCTGCCTGTTCAGGTGGATGTTAAAGATCTCATGGCACTATTTGAAAAGAGAAGGGAGTTTCTCGCAGTGTCCTGGCCAACAATCACCCATATGAAATTGATTACTCACTCCATGGCTGCCAATGTGATCAGGCGCTGCACCAAATGCAATGATTATTATTATTAGAGAAACCAGGACCAGTACATAAGACATAAAAAGAGAAATGCTAGATGAAAAAAGACCTAGTCCCATCTAGTTCGCCTTCCACCTTCCTGGGGGACCCATGCACATATGTCCAGTAAACCTGTCTGATTTTGAGCTCCCTACTCTGGGGAACGCCTGGGCCAATTCAGCCTCAGATACAACTCTGGCTGAGACCAGCCAAACTCAGCATCAACTGAGAGTTGATCCAGAGTTCCCAGTCTGTAAGATGCAGCTCTATCCAACAGCCCATTGGGGAAATCTGAAAATAGCTTTACCTATATGATACTAACATATTATATGATGAAATAATACAGGGTTTTATTTTTATAATAAAAATCTACTTTTAATAAATAAATGACTCTCATTCTACTGTGCAATGGTGGATATGGTGACATGGCAAATATTCTGGAGATTTTACTTAATTGCCTTTGGGTTCAGGGAGTATTTATGTGCAGCTTTCCTCCATAATCTCCTTTATTGATATAATAATGAGTGGAAGAATGAATTTCTGTAGAAATAAATCAATAATGCAGATGGTTTCAATACTGCACTCCCACTTTGGTTCTTGTATCTTAATGTTGATTATGTCTCATCTATTTCTGATCGATTTTTTTTTCTCCCTATTTTATAGAGCCATTGAAGTTAGCTAATTTCCTTTCTTTAATAATTTTGGTGATTTTGTTCTAATTCTATTGAATGGCCTCTGCTATAGAATTAATGAGATCAGCCACTTGTGGATATTACCATACTCAGAAGGCAGAGGAATGTCTTATAGCATATTTTAAAAGTATTCTTAAGAAATTAGAATACCATAATCTTGACCGTATAGTTTTCCAGCTAGACATTTTAACTTTTTGTGCGAACATAAATTGTTTGGTGCCCATAAGAGTTGTTCAGCCTCTCTGCCCCCACACTCTGGAACTCCATCCAACAGTCCTTTTGCCTCACTTTCTTCCTTGCCTCCTTCAAGGCCGTCTCAAGACCCTCCTCTTTGATCGTGCCTTCGGTCGCCCTCCCATCTCTCTGCCTTCCCTCGTCCTACCCCACCCCTCCCCCATGCTCGGGTCCTAAGCCCTGACTGTCCAGGCCTTGGTACGTCCTCCTGATGTGAAGGGTGCTCCATAAATATAATTTTTGTTGTTGTTTTTCATTACCCCATGTGAAGGGTACTGTTTGCCATTTGTTATTTAATAATAATAATATAATAATAATCCTTGCATTTGATATAGCGCTTTTCACGTCGGGAAGACGTCCCAAAGCGCTTCACAGAACACACTGTAAAGTGAATTGACTGTATATTTGTGGGCAAACACGGCAGCCAATTGTGCACAGCAATGTCCCACAAACAGTCTAGATTGAAAATGACCAATTTATTATTGGTTTGGGTTTTGGAGGGATTATTATTAGGCGTTTGGAGTAAGGAAACTTGCCCAAGGTTTCGCCCTGCCTGGAATTGAATTCAGGTCTCTCGCTTGTAAAGTGAGTGCTCTAACCACTGAGCTACAGGACTCCATGAGTTAAGTTGTTGTATTTTCCTTTGCACCTTTAGGTTAGTGCATATATAAATGTATTACATTGTAGAATCACCTATAGATTTGCACAGCAAGAAATACACTAAACTTTCTTGCTGTTTTTGTTTGTGAAAGCATGTTCCGGAACGATTACCTCACCCTGGTGAGATTACAGACCACACAATTTTGAATGTGTTTGGACAAATGGGACATGCAGGCCGCTATATCTTGGATGGTCTCAAGGTAGGTAATCAGAATCAATATTTAAAAACTTCTACAGTAAAACTTACATAAATTTATCTTTATAAATCGTATAATCACCTAAGTCATACATTTACCCAAGTCCCATTCAGTTTCTTATCAAAACCACTTAGATTTCTTTGCCAACTCATATTAATCACCCCTTAACTCGTAACGCTGTTCGTTATACTCCATTATTCCCCACTTACCAAATGAATAGGGAGAAATTGCGTCTTGACCCGTGGACGCATGCGCACTTACTGGCCGGCTACATTGAATCTTGGGAAATGTAGTCTTGATTTGTCAGTGCATTTGCAGAAGAACTTCATTTTCTGCGATTCATTGAGATTTCAATGATTGCCGGTAAGTGAGCATGCAGCAACAGGTCAAGATGCATTGAATTGTGGGACATATAGTTGCGACGAAGTAACGCATGTGCATTTACCTTGTGCATTGAATTACGCATGCACAACGTAGATTATTGATTACATTGGATTTCTGTGATTTATACAGTTTGACTAGAACTCAGACTTTGCGCAAGTTATATTAAATGTTATGGTCCCAAATGATACAACTAATGTGAGTTTTACTGTAATTTATGTGTAAAAATGGCTTCCAACCTTACACAGTCATTTGACTTTCACTAGACTGGAGCTGTGTACCAGGAAATGTATAAGGACTCTGACCTAATGATTGGAGCCGTGATAAATGTCTGGGGACGGAAAGTAGTGATCTGTGATTGTGATGAATTCACAAAAGAATACTACCGGAACAAATATGGTATTGGTGAGTACATGCCTGGGAATGCCAATCCTCTGAAGCAAAATGGCTCGGACATCTCTCCCCCATCTCTACCTCCCAGCTGCTGGATATGAACTGGCACTGAGACAGCCTTGGAGTGGTCTTCATTTCCCTCTCTCCCCCAGGAATAGTGCTCTACCAAAGTGATTGCTTCACATGGGAATGGTAATTAGAAATAAAGATGACATCTCTCCTCAGAATGAGTTTCAAAACCGGGAATGTCTCACTTAGGAATGTTGCTAGTAACAAAGGGAACATCTTACCTAGGAATGGTGCTCAGAGAGGGTAAATGTAAGGGATGGAAATAAAATGTGTATTTCGAAATAGGGGGAAAATAAATAGAAACCTCAAGGAATGTAATTAATAAAGTTAAGATGCTTCTGAGTTCATAGAGATGATGTGATTCCTACTTATTGTAGAAATAAGGGGAAGAAATTCCACCAGTGTCTAGATTTACTCTGTATAGCATTTCAAAGCACTCAGAATTTGCACATTCATAAATACAGTACAGCCTTAATTTTGATGCCAGTTTTCGGTAAGTTCTGCAGGCTCCCATGTACCTATTTTACACCAAGGACAAGGCAGTTTCCTTGAAAAAAATGACACAAACGATTAACAGCAACATCACTTTTTCAAACTATAAAACAGATATATTTTAAAAAGGTTATGCAATAAATTGGGATCTTGCCAAATGCAGAAGGTTGTTGAGCTTCACAGAAATAGGATGTGTGTGTTTGTGTGTGTGTATTTAATGGCTGCACTGATGACATATTCCATACATTTTATAATATAGGGTGAACCTGAAGATCATTTCCAATTGGTTGGAAGTGATACCATAATTTACAATATTAATAATATAAGGCCTTTCATAGAAGTATTATAGTAAAGAAATGTGGATAAATGTAAAGTACTTCATATAGGAACAAAAAATCCTGGAAGGGACTATTAGTTGAACAAAAGGAAAATAATATGTATGGAAAATGAAAAGGACCTGGGGGGTTTCCTGATTGACAATAAATTGAAACTCTCCCAACGATGTTCTTTGACAGAGAGTAGAGCAAACCACTTGTTGGGATATATCAAAAGATCAATAGCAAGCCAAAGTAGTGGGGTAATCCTGCCACTGTATAAATCATTGGTGAGACCATACTACTGTGTACAGCTCTGGTCGACACACTACAAAAAGGTTAGTGGAGAAATTGAGAAGATACAGAGGAGGGCAACCAAAATGATTGAGAAAATGGAAGGACTGACTATGAGGAGCGACTAAGTAAATTGAGCATGTACACGTTGGAAAATAGAAGATTGAGAGGCAACATGATTGCTGTCTTTAAGATTCTAAAGGGGCAAGACAATATAGATCATGACAGTCTGTTTCAACTTGTCCAGAATAGTAAAACCAGAGAACACGGCCTGCGATTGAAGGGGGTTAAATTCAGAACAAATCTACTAAACACTATTTTAGTGAGCGAATAGTGAACCTGTAGAACAGGCTCCCTAGGGAAACGGTTGAAGCAGGAAGTGTTGATTCTTTCAAACACAGATTAGATAGTTTTCTTTCAGGAAATAACATTATGGTATATAGTACATTGGTAATTTGGGACATACGCGCATGCGACCGCCGGAAGGCGAACTAGATGGACCTGGGCCTTTTTTCATCTAGCGTTTTTTATGTTCTTATGTAAAGATCGAAGGTTGTTTGACCTTCATGCTCGTGACAATAGGGACAAAACTTCTGGTCAGTGCCAAAGCACAGCTTCAGATTAACTGCATTGTACATATATTGAGGAGCAGCAAAACCCAGTTATCCGAAATTGGATTGAATGGTGAAGCAGTAAATTTTAACCCTTCTTCGTTATATTGAAGAGCTGTAAAATTCATTACAAGATTGGCATTACAGAAATTGGTTTTCGTGCCATAATGGGAGGAATTTGACAAGCCAAATGTTGTATTATTGATCCAATCCTTTCCTAAATTACTGTATTTCACTGTACTCTAATGATAGTGTACGCGGTAGACTGATAATAATAGTAATTCTTGCATTTAACACAGCACCTTATCACGTCATTGAAGAGTCTCAAGGCACTTCACAAGATATACTGTAGACTGTAGTAACTGTATATTTGTATACAAACATAACAGCCAATATGTGCACAGCAATATCCCACAAACAGCAATAAAATGAATGACCAATTTATCTGGGGGATTGTTGACCAGGACCCAGAGACAACAGACAACTTCCTTTCTAATTAAAACATGGGGAGGTAGAGTAATGTTTTAATCAGCTCAAAGTCTCTTTTTCTGAATTTGGATCCTACCCAGCCATTAGTAGAATAGTCAGGGCTAAGCACATTTTAAGTATCTTACTGAAAAAGCCTGCCGTACTTTTCTTTTTATATTTCTGTATTTTAGGATGTCCCAGCACCTTGGGATGTCCTCCCGACGTGAAAGGCACTATACAAATCTAAATTGTTGTTGTTGTTATTGGTTCTGTTGAACATGCCATTCCTTATAATTTATTATCTTTACCAATAATATTTGATATAGTGCCTTATCACGTCATAGAGACGTCTCAAAGCTCTTCACAGAATTTACTTATAAAGTGACTGTGTATTTTGTGTGTGAAACACATCAGTCAATTGCACACAGCAATATTTCACAAACCGCCATGGAGTGAGTGCCCAATTTTTTTTAGTTGGGGATTGTTGGCAAGGACACCGGGAGAAACTCCCTTCTCTTTTCAAATATTTGCGTGCGATCTTTTAACGTCCATCTGAAAAGGCAGATGGGACCCCAGTTTCGCCTCTCATCCGAAGGATGCACCTCTGTCAATTTAACATGCCCACAGCACTCCATTGGAGGATCAGCTTAGAAGGTGTGATTCCAAGGCCCGATGTGGGGCTTGAGCCCACACTGACTCGGAGGCAAGAGTGCGTGAGTGTCAGCCTAGCACTGCGCCAGGCTGACACACAAGCCATTACCCCCAGAAAGCAAGTAACAACCGGGTTCCTACTTACTGCTAGATAAACAGGCATTTGGAGTAAGAAAAGTTGCCTAAAGTTTCTCCCACCCGGGAATTGAACCTGGGTCCACTCGCTTGGGAGGTGAGCATACTAATCACTATGCTACGGAACTTCACAGATAATTAATTAGATAGTATAATAGATAGTTAATTAGATAGGATAAGCATCAGTTATACTTTAGAATTTCCATAATCATGACCAAATCCTCTAATTATGTCTGTTTTCTTTACGTTTTCTTTGTTAGTACCCTCTATACACGCATTCATAACGTCCAAGCTCGACTATGTAAACTCCATGCTTGTCGGCCTCCTCAACTTCTCTCTCCACAGGCTTCAGATCATCCAGAACTCTGCAGCCCATGTCCTCTCCCGCACCATGTTCAGTGACCCCTATCACCCCAATCCCCGGCTTCACTGGCTTCCAGTCACACAGAGGATATAGTTCAAGATCCTGGTCTTCACCTTCAAAGCCCTCCATGGCCTTGCTCCCCCCTACCTCTGTGACCTTCTAACCCCCTACCAACCTGCCTGCTCCCTCAGCTCAGCGGGCTCCGTCCTGCTTCATGCTTCATGTTTCCTGTCTTGCCCGCCCCACCATTGGTGTACGGGCCTTCAGCCACTCTGCCCCCATCCTCTGTAACCCCATCCCGCAGTCCCTCCACCTCGCCCCTTCCCTTGCCTCCTTCAAAACCCTTCTCATGTCCCTCCTCTTCTACCTTGTCTTCGATCACCCTCCTTCCTCCGCTGCTCTGCACCCTCCCCTATCCCGACCCCCACCTCGGGTCTGAAACACTCATTGTCCAGCGCCTTGGGACGTCCTCCTGACGTGAAAGGCTCTATATAAATGTAATTTTGTGGTAGTTGTGAGACAGATGTTGCATAATTCTCTTTGAAGGGTAATATATTCATAACATTTCCCCATAATCATTAATGTCCAAAGGGTGTACTTACAGATGTCATAAATAGGAAATGTGTTCATATAAATTGTCCTACAATGGAAAATGTTGCAAAGGATACACTTACTGTAGTCTTAAACATTTACATGAATTGTCCCATAATATTAAATATAATAAAGCAGACACTTTATTGGTGTCTTAAATGAGACGACTTATACAAACTGTTCCGGAATTAAATATTATAAAGACTAGCGTCTCCCTCAGGCATCCCTTCCTTCGGTGATTTGTGAGTTAAGAAGGCAGCCTACGAACCAACATTTCTTTTGAAGAAGTCACTGTGTTGTGACATCAGTAATAGATCCTCCCCTTTGCCACCCTACCCCCAGCTCATATTCACATCATAATACAGAGCAACTACTCCAAAGATCTGTTGCAATGTATTTCAAATTAACAGTTCTAAAGCTTAAAACACAGAAATGGGGAGAGGGGGATGCGTAGAGGTGAGAGGAATGCCAATAAATGTAGAGCGATTTCTCTAAAATGTTTCTCATTGTATGATAAAGGTAGAATTGGATTCCCCTTGATTTTTACGAGTTGCCTGGATGTTTGGAGGCAAAACTTTCACTGTGTTCTCTTAAAGAATATTTTAGCTGTTGCAAATAGATTTATATGAATCTTACATTTTATAAAGCTTACTATTGATCTGGATTGATATCGACAAAATACGAGAGAAATCTGGATGAAGAAAGCTCACTTTCAGAATAAGCATCCTAACATATTCCCATTACAACATGAAGCTGTTTCTTAAATGTGTCCAATATAATGGCCCCAATCACCCTCTCTGATTCCAGTTCCAGCTATTAATTACCACCTGTATAAAGAAATACTTGCTGGTGGTTATCCTAAAATTATTCTTTACTACCTTGAACCTATGTCCTCTTGTCTCGCTCTTGTGATTTACTTCCTCAAATCTGTTTAGCATCAAATGAGCCTCCAAATGTTTGAGTACAAGGAGGTGATGAGCAGAGGTGGGGGATGGAGGGGGTAGGTATTGGACCAGTAGGTGAAGAATAAGAGGGAATTTCTCTAAATATCCTTGCCAACAGTCTCCCAAATGAAATTGGTCATTTACTTTCTAGCTGTTTGAAAATCATTGCTGTGAAAATAAATTTGCTGCTGAGTTCGCCTACATATAACACAGTCACTTTAAGGTAAATCAGGTGAAGTGCTTTGAGATCTTTTGGCTCTGATAAGGCTCTTTATAAAACAAAAGTATTATTATCTTCAGAAATATACGCAAAAAATATATGAATAAAAAGTAAAATGAAGTATCACAAATAGTTGATTTAATTAAGTTGGGAAGCAGATTGAGCCATCGGTATCTCAGTTGAATAATGAAGTGGATATATTTAAAGGAATTGAAATTTACACCAAAGAAAAATGATTGTGGTGTGCATTCAAGGCTGTACGTTTTCAAGTAAGACAGTCTGCCCTTCCTTGCTCTTCCTGGAGAAGCAAATTTACTTTAAATATATCAACTGAGGTATTGGTCTCAGTCTGCTTGCCAAATGAATGCGTCCACTTGATGGCGCTGTTGATCTTAGGAGGGTATCAAATGTAAGGAAGAAGAAAGCGTGAAAATAATTTAACTCTTTGAATACCGTTTATCCTTTTAAGCTTCCAGAATGCATCCATTCTAGTCATATAACAGGTAGAAAAAAAATTTCCATCACACTTTCACAATATTGGCTATTGTTTTTTAGTAGAAGTGAATAGGTGTACAGAATTAAGGAATGCTTGCTTTTGAAATTTTATTTATTATCTGTGGCAAGAATCACACTTTGAATACACGTTTTCATGATCTGTACCCCTTGGTCTATAAATTAAAGAACTTCCTACAGGTGTAGAAAGGTGTAAAATCATTCATGTAACATCATTTTAAATAAGTGTTTCTGAGCAAGCGCATGGTGAGATTAAATGAGCTGAAAAACCTTCATTCAAACCTCTCTGATGCTGTGATCTGAAGTTTAATAATCCCTTCAAAATAATAAATAATTTGGTCACTCAATCCACGACTGTTTGTGGCCACTGCTGTGCACAATTGACTGCCGGATCTCACCCACAAAGCACACAGTCAATTTGCTTTACAGTATTTTCTGTGAAGTGCTTTGAGACATTTCGAACACACGATAAAGCGCTATATCAAATGCAAGGATTATTATTACAACTAGTGGAATCTGGATCAAGCTGAAATTTTATGGTGAATCTTTTGCCCAAATTGTGGTTTTCCCTCCCCCCTTTCTCTGTCTTATGCACTTTTCCCTGAATGACTTGACAGGTAGGGAATCCCTGGAATGTGCAGGGACTTATCCTGTACTGGAAATTGTGCAATTTTCCTTCCACCCCTGAAGAAAGTCTTTTCACTTCCTCTTGACACCTCTTGCCAATGCCCAGCTGATAAGACTTCACCATGCAGAGAAGCCTAGATTTCCATCTCCAAGCACTCCATAAAGAGACTGCTCCATTTTAGAATATTTCTTAAATCATTTCATGCTTTGAATAAATATGTGCACTATATGTTTTAATACTATATAAATATTGGACACATGAAACATTAAATATCTCAAGCACTATCTTATCAGTTCAATCACAACGGAAAGAACAGTTTGAGACTGATTAACATTAACCTCGTGGAAGGGTAGGGGGAGAGTATTAATTAAGTAACTATTTACCATTCTGCTGAAATAAAGCATGTTAGGCTATAGAAATATTTTATACAAAATGTCAGTTTGGTACTAATCCCTAAACTAAACCTTGGCTAATATGTCACTGGGAGTTCCCATTGCAAGACCAAGTGCATTGTGAGATCAGCTCCATATAGTTAGTTCAAACCTGGCATTCATGGGTAAAATCACTTAACTTCAGGCTTTTAGCATGCTAGAAAATGAAATAATAGATTATTTATTGTATAAAATGCACAATATTAAAATGTCCTGGACTGATTATTTGCTTGAACAATAGAAGGCTTGATTTCTGGTGGGTCAACTCAATAAGTGAGTACCACATATCACATTGACAAGCTATCTTCCTTGGAGGGGAGTGGGTTATGCTCGGTCTCACTGAGGATGAACTGGCTTCTAGTAGAAATGACTGGTAAAGTCTGATGGGCGTGAGGTAGTCCAAGTCATTGTTGATGATTGACTTGTGTGTCAGACTCATCAATGAGATTTGTGAGCAAAACATAATATGCAAGATAGTCCTAACTCGACAAGTGCGATGAAACTCATTTGTGTTTTGTATTGGTAAGCTGAAAGATTTCTATCACCATTGATATAAAACAAGCTGTCAGCACAGGATTAGGCAGCAAAATAATTGAGGTTTGATGCAAGGACCAAGTCAGTAAACATAGTTTGTATTCTTTGTCTGACTCAAAAGCATGTCGTACCTGCACTGTCTGAACATTCATTATCTGCAAGACAAATTGAAATATATTTTGAATATAAATGCAAATATTCGGTGTACTCCTGTATATAGAACGATAGCGCTATCTATCACCTCCTGACGCTAATTTAAAAACCTGATAAACTTGATTTGTGAAAGAGAAATGTGACTGTAAATTCCATATTTTATTAGCGATACTGTAGATCAAAACATTGCAACAAATATGTAGCCTTGTAATCAATGTTTTCTTTCTACAAAATGCAATATAATACCAAGTATTTTTAATTTGAGTTATTTAAATTTCAGCGGAATTCACCCCAATCAAAATCAAGTCAAAAGAAGGACCTAAAATTGAGAAGGAAATTGCTCCATACACTGGTTTTGGATCAGAGGAAGACTCCCTCAATTCAACCCTTAAAATGGTTCCTCATGTACAACGAAACATGTTAAAATTCATGGAGAATGACAGGTAGGAAAGAAATCTTATGAAAGATACAGATATTCACTTGGGGTCTCAGTTCCTGCTTGGAATCCTTTGTCGCACATCTGAAAGCTTTTATAATATATGGAATAATGAGTTTTATTTCTGCTGGTGCATCTGTTGTTTTTCTGCAGTACCACACAATGATTGTGGGACTTCACAAAATGATTGTGTTCTTTTGGATGCCGAATGGCAAATTCTTCGTCCATCATTTAAATCGTTAGCTTGTATCACCATGACTCAGTGCAAGTATTTAAATGTATGTTCTTATTGAATTGGACATTATGCTAAAAGAAATTATATTTGCCACTTTGATTCAGCAGTTGATAGAAGAAGCAATAAAGTTGTGTGTGTGCTGTATTGCGAGTGCTCGGAATTTCGAGCGCTCTGAATTAAGCGCTCTGGGACTCTACCCTGGGTGAGGGGCACAAATTAAATGCAAGTTGTTGTTATGAAATTAACCACAATTTAGGATTTATAAATTGATCAATTACATAATTAAAATCACTTGTAATTCTCTCTATAAACTTCTTTGCACATTAATTACACATGACTCTTAATACACATGCAATTACACATGTATTGCACATGGCTTACATGTGGTGTATGATTGCATGTTATTCCATCATGTAACTTCCTTTGTCCCCCAACATAGCAGGTTGGTTCTCTTTCTCCTGCTCTAGCAAACATAATGAATAATAGACTCAGAACACATACACAAACTAGTAAGCTTAAACAAAATTGGGTCATAGTACTTTAAATTTATGCCAAGCCATGCTTTTAAACTTGCATTAGTTTCACATTGCTCAGAGTCATACTGTAGCCTGCTTATGGAACATGTATTTGCAGGTTGTGAATTTCAGGAGAAATTAAGATAAGCACAATTTCTTACCTTAGAAAAGCTGAGTGGTTAGAAACAAGTGTTTGAATTGTATTCAACACTAAAAAACTGGGTACAACAACAAAATTACATTTACGCCTTTCACGTCGGGAGGACGTCCCAAAGCGCTGAGGTATCCTGTGGGTTATGTACAAAGACGTATATATAAGTGTGGATGTCTTACTGAACATTGGTTTCAAATTCTTTTAGACAAGGTCTGGATGGTAATGTGCTCCGGTTTTCTGCCCGAATGGTATTGGACAGCAACCCAATCAACAGTGAACGGAAATTTGTCATTTCATATTTCTTGAATGATGACACTATGAGTATTTTTGAACCTCCTATATCAAACTCAGGTAAAATAATATTGTACTTGTGTGTTTAAACTTATAGAAAGAATGCTGGATGCTATTTGTATGTGCATGTGCGAATGATTAAAGCCAGAATATACAGAATTGTATGTATTTCTAAGCTTTTCCTCTATGTTTCATATATTTCTCCTTTCATCTCTTTCCCACGCCCAAGCTCGGACTCCCATTCAATTGTGTGAAGTGCTTTAAGATGTGAAATGCGCTCAATAATTGTTAATTGTTGTTTGAATTTACTATTCTTCAACAATCTCACCAAGGTGGACAGTAATAGTGCTGGTAATTTGAGCACTTTACTACACTATAGTGTTTCAAACGTAGGACTATACATACAGTATTTTTATCAATGCAGCCGTTAGATGTGGTTGTGTTGAGTTAGGAGATGGTTTCCATTCAGATTTATGTTATTTGGAAACAAGAAATCCTTCCAACTTAGCTGTTTATCTGACTTGTAAAATTCGACTAGTGCAAAGCAATCAAAATGTTTTTTAATAGGAAAATGGATGAAATTTGGGTGCACGTATGGTTTAGGAAAGTACAAGACTTATTTCAGCGCCTTGGGACATCCACCTGACATGAAAGGCGCTATACAAATGTTATTTTTTATATTTTGTATTATGAAACACATTATGCGAGTTTATCTGTATCAATTTTCATCAGAAGTGTGTTGTATTCTTTAAAACCTTCACATTCTGAAGTAATTTCCTATTCCTTCCAGGTGTTGTTGGTGGAAAGTTTTTGGAAAGAGGAAAAATAAAAAAACCTAACCAGGAGCTCTTTAAGAGTGAGCCATCGCAATACTTTACTGTGCATGACCTGTTCATCGGAGCTAAGCTGTGCCTCAATGGTCACAGCTTTTTGTTGGTAGATGCTGATGAATATACTTTATGTTACATGGAAAAACATGCAGATGAAGTACGTTATGAAACACTTTTGGCCACTTATCCTTCCTTAATACTATTGTTCAATTTACCTTGAAATAAGTTTTAAAAAGGTTTGTTCATAAGATGTAACTATTTGGATAGATAATTCAAAATAAAAGTGAGGTATGCAAACATTTTGGGTCTAATTTGTGGAGGACTTTGAGTTCATAATCTAGGCTGATACTCCGAAGACCCTAAACTGAGGACTGTCTTGCTGTTCAAATGAATGTTAACGATCCCATTGGCACGATTTGAAAGGAGTTTCTCCTGGTGTCCTGACCAACATCAGTCACAACAAGGCTGTTTGTGAGTCGCTGCTATGTGCAGTATTTGCCTACAAATACATAGTCACTACATTTTGCAGTAAAACCTGTGACGTGCTTTGACATTATAGGTGCTATATCAAATTCTAGGATTATTACAACAATCAATGTACACAACCTGTGGGTTGGGTTAACTGCAAATGTTTATTTGTTTCTTTAATCATGTAATTAATAACTAATGAAAAGGATAGTGGGTATTTATGATTCCATTGGTTGCTAATTATCTAATGAAGGGTATTTGTATTTGTGTGCCCATTGTGGTTAAACCCACCTGCAAATGTTTGTATGGATTGTTAACCAACCCACAAATTAGACACAAAATGTTTTGCTTTTTGAAGAAGTTTTATTAGCATTTAATATCAATGAGATCAGTAATTTTATTATGAACTAGACTATGAAAGCAAAAACTCGTTAAATTTCAATCATTTACAGATAGATGGAAGTTAACCAAATAATGGTTAAATTGGCCAGACTTTATATGAATAAAATATATGCTTTGAAAAAGTTGGTAAAACCTTTGAAGAAGTAGTTTGAAGTTTTAATTAAGATTGCTCTTCATTTATCAAACTCTATCCAGTTATGAAACAATTAGGATGTTATTTACTTTTAATTTCAATTTTGGATTGATTTATTTCAAACCAGTAACTTTGATATTCACTATCTTTTAGTTTTATACTTAATTTCTAAGACATAGACATAATTTAATTAACAATGAACATGTTCTGTTTTGTTCTTTATTGATTTTTTTTACATGACAGCAGCTTTATTTTTGCTTTTTCCATTGCATTAGTTCCTCAAAGGTAATATCTGTTCAATCCTGAGCAAACTCAAAACAATAAACAATGATAAATCTCTCGAAATTAAGAGGATGTTTGCAGCTCAAGATTTCGGAAGCTGTGGCATAATTAGATACGATCAGTTCAGGTGAGCTCTGCAGATTAATCTAAATATTTTTCTTACGTTTTTCACCTTTTTTGTATTCTAATTGTCCTATTTATTTTATTCTTAATTATAGCACTCCTCCACATTTTACCCTGCGTAACTCAGCACAGACCAGGGATTATTATTGGGGCCTTCTTGGACTATATTGGCTGAGTGGTGCACCGCAAGATCTAATTACCTTTTGAGCCATTGAACTTTTTAATGTAATATTAGTGTATCATTTGTACTTTGCTTCTAAACAGGGATATCTTGCTTGAGATTGCACAGGAACACTTCACTCCTCATGAGATTATGACAATATGCCGCTACTATAGCATCCGTGAACAGCCAGGTTCAGACTTGTGTGTTGTACTAGCTCTGGTCCAAGAACAGCTGAGAAAGCACCCCTTTGAAGACTTCACTAAACTGACTCAAGCATTCACATTTGAGGATCAGCAAAGGTAAAGTGTACAATAATTTGGTCACTCAATCCACAATTGTTTATAGGACACTGATGTGCGCAATTGGCTGCAGCGTTTCGCCCACAAATCACACAGTCAATTCACTTTACGGTATATTCTGTGAAGTGCTTTGAGACGTCTCAACAACAACAACAAGATTACATTTGTATAGCGCCTTTCACGTTGGGAGGACGATCCAAGGCGCTGGACAGTGTACAGCATTTCAGACCCTAGCTGGGGTCAGGGAGGGAGAAGGGAGGGGAGGAGAAGGGAGGTGACCGGTCATGGTCGAAGAAGAGGGTCTTGAGGCGGGACTTGAAGGAAGATAAGGAGGGGATGAGGCGGAGTGATTGTGGGATGGAATTCCAGAGGTTGGGGGCAGAGTGGCTGAAGGCTCTCCCGCCAATGGTGGGGCGGGTGGGTTCGGGGATGTGGAGCAGGCCGGAGCCAGCTGAGCGGAGGGAGAGGGTGGATTGGTAGGGTGTTAGGAGGTCGCAGAGATAGGGTGAGGCAAGGCCATGGAGGTCTTTGTAGGTGAGGACCAGGATCTTGAACTGGATCCTCTGAAGGATAGGGAGCCCATGGAGTTGGGCGAGAGTGGGGGAGATGGGGTCACGGAGTTTGGTGCGGGAGAGGACACGGGCTGCAGAGTTCTGGATTATCTGCAGCCTGTGGAGGGAGGAGTTGGGAAGGCTGACAAGCAGGGCATTTGCATAGTCGAGCCTGGAGGTGATGAAGGTATGAACAAGAGTTTCAGTGACCTGAGGGGTGAGGTAGTGGCGGAGTCGGGCGATGTTACGGAGGTGAGGGAAGGCAGAGCGGGTCATGGCTTGAATGTGGGGGAGAAAAGACAGTTGAGAGTCGAACAAGATACCTAGGTTCCTGACTGGCTTGGTGAGTTGAAGTGTGCAACCATGGAGGTTTATGCTGCCAGAGCCTGAGGTGCAGAGGCGCTGGCGCGAGCCAATCAGGAGGCCCTCAGTCTTGTTCATACTCAACTGTAGGAAATTTGCCCTCATCCAGGACTTAATGTCCGAAAGGCAGTCTATATCGGTGACTCAAGGTCACAGATTCAAAATAGTATGTAAAAGAAGCAAAGGGGAGGTGAGAAGAACTTTTTTCACGCAGCGAGTTGTTCGAATCTGGAACGCATTGCCTGAAAGGGTGGTCGAGGTCGATTCGATAACTACTTTTAAAAACGTGGTGGACGGGTATTTGAGGAGGATGGGTTTGCAGGGTTATGGGGAAAGGACTGGGGAGTGGGATTGACATTAATTGCTTTATTCAAAGAGCCGGCACAAACTTGATGGGCCGAATCTCTTCTTTTTGTGCTATACGATTCTATGATTCAGTGGTCCTGGAGTTGAGGGTGGAGGCAGAAAGATAGAGTTGGGTGTCATTCGCATACGTCTGGAAGTTGACCCCATGTCTGCGGATGATGTCACCAAAAGGGAGCATGTAGATATTAAAGAGGAGAGGGCCAAGGACAGAGCCCTGGGGACGCCAGACATGACAGTGCGGTCATTGGAGGAGAAACTGTTAGAGGCAACAAAGTGGTGACAGTGAGAGAGATAGGATCGATCCAGGCAAGGGCAGGTCCGTGAAAGTTAAGTAAAGAGGAGAGGTGGTGTATGAGGATGGAGTGTCTTCAACAGTGTCAAAGGCGGCAGAGAGGTCGAGGAGGACAAGGAGGCAGAGGGAGCCCTGATCACAGATGTTCAGAATGTCATTAGTGACTTTGACCAGGGCTGTTTCCGTGCTGTGGGCAGTGCGAAGCTGGATTGGAGGGGTTCAAAGAGGGAATGGTGAGAAAGAAAGGAGCGGAGCTGGGACGCTAGCACTCATTCCAGGACCTTGGAGAGGAATGGGAGGTTAGAGATGGGGCGGTAGCTGGAGAGAAGGGCTAGGTCCAGGGAAGGTTTTTTCAGGATGGGAGTGATGGTGGCTATTTTTAACGGGGTGGGCAATGAGAGGTTGATGACGTTGGACAAGAGAAGGGCCAGAAGGTGGAGCTGGGGGATGAGGAGAGAGGTGGGGTTGCGACCAAGGGAGCAGGTGGTGGGTTTGAGTTTGTGAATGATGGTGGTAAGGGAGGAGGGAGAGATAGGGTTGAAGGAGTATAGGGGGGGATGGGTGGGGGTTGGGTGATGAGGGAGAGGTGATGTGGGGTTGGTGATGGACAGGGCAAAAGTGGCTGAACGTATCCCCGCGATTTTGGATTCAAAGAAGTCCAGCAGCTCCTCACAGTTAGAGTTTGAGGAGAAGATGGGCGAGGCGTGCGAAGGTGGACGGAGGAGATGGTCTGTGGTGGAAAAGAGAAGCCTGGGGTTGTCCTTTGCCTCCAATATAACCTTGGAGTAGAAGGAGGATTTGATGGAGGTCTTGGTGTGGTGAAGCCAAATCTGCCGATGGACCGTTAGTTTGGATTTGGTCCATGCACGTTTGGCACTTGTGCCTTGAGGGAACCGAGATAGCTGGTGTACCAGGGGTAGTTTATGGGAGTATGAGGCAGTTCGGGAGGTGGGGGGACGAAGGGAGTCCAGAATGGAGGAGAGGAAGTTGTGGAGAAAAGAGAGCGAAGAGGGGAGATTGGTCAGGGAGGGCCAGAGGTGTAGGAGTTCAGATGGCTCCAGGGCAGTGGAGAAGAAATTTTTTTCCACGGACGGTATGAGATGGTAGAGGATTGAGAAAAGGGAAGGGGTACGAGGTGTTGAGGGAGATGAAGCAGTGGTCCGAAATGGCTTTGTCGATGATGGTGATGTCCGAGACGGTGAAGCCCCGGGTGATCACCAGATCAAGGGGGTGGCCACAGTCGTGGATGGGGGAGTGGATGAGGAGGGAGAGGTTAAGGGAAGAGAGGAGGGAGGAGAAGTCGGCAGAGGTAGAGCAGAAGGGGGTGAAGTGAAGGTTGAAGTTGCCTAAGATTAGGAGGCATTCAGAGCAGAGGGGTGACCCAGGTTTCAGTGAGGGTGGGGATGTCAATGTTTTCCTCGATGGTGAAATCATGGATTGTGAGGGACTTATTTGTTAGTGAGTGGACGTTCTGCAGACTGATGCAGAGGGGACAGTTAGTGGTGAGAGTGTGGGGGAGATGAGGGGGGGAGGGGATGGGCAGATGGGTTGGGTGGCGATGTGGATAAGGAAGGAGTTGTTGGCTCCCTTGGGTGAGGGCCGGTGGGCTTTGCGGCGAGAGTGGGGTAAGGGGCAGTCAGAGTGGGTGCTGTTGGACAGCCGATGGCGTCTACCATGGTGGGCACAAAGGAGACTGTGAAGGGAGGCTGTGGGGGAGTCGAGGAGGGATAGGAGTTGGGGTAGGCAGAGGGAGAGGAGGGTTGAGACGTGATAAGGCTCAATATCAAATGCAAGGATTATTTTTGTGAAGCCCTTCATTCATTTTGTGAAGCCCTTTCAGGCTTTTTATCTACCAGGAAGCTATATAAATGTATGATTATGAATGTATGTATAAATGTTTCTGTAGTGAATACATTGTGAGATTGTACATCTTAAAATGGATTGTTTAAAGAGATCTATCTCTTGCACAATAATTTTCCTTGAAACAATCCAGTGTAATATGAAAAATCTCCTGTGAAACATAAATTTATTTTTGAAAAATTATCTGTCCAGTACTTCAATGGCATCAAGAGGTTATCTGAGAATTCAACAGTGACTTATTGCAGCAAATGAAATGTGATCCATGAACATTTTGGTAGGTTTGTGTGGTGAATGTAGTTCTTCCAGGGGAAGAGAACAGAACACTGCTAAAATCATTATAAGGAAAAATTATTCGGTGATTTATTTTTCCTTCAAATTTAATTGACCTAAAGGTCAAAAGCCAAAGCTGTCCATTCTGTTATTTTGGTGCCTCTTTTGTGGCAGGGTTCTGTGAATATCACTAACATATCGTGCATGAGTGTGTGTTTGTGTGCAAGAGATTGTGTTCACACTTGTTTTACTCCACCGAAAGTAATGAACAACGGAAATTTGGGAGCTAAGATTGAAAGTTGAAACACCATCTTTGCAGTTAGCTTTCAAGTCCCACACATATCTCTGGAACACCCCAGTCATTGTGTGAGGATTCCAGAGAAGTAATCGTTTTGTAAAGGTGTTTTAACAGATGACAAGCAGGACATTTTAGAATCACTGGCACTTTGAAGGTATGCATCCAAGGCAAATGTACTAAGGAGATGAAAACCATCTGGTGGTGATATCTCAGTAACAATCTGCAGCACAGATTGAGGTGCAAAGACAGGTACTCTCTTACTCTGATGTCTTAGTCCCTAAAATCAGATTGATAATAAACAAAGAAGTACAAAGCTTGTTTAATTCTAGTAGCTAAAACGGTTAATATGTATGAAACAGAATTTATCCATTGGATTGGTTGATTAAAGCCCTGTCTGCTCTTCACTGCAGAATTGAATGCGCTGTATTGTTTGCTGATCTTTTTTAAAAATTTGGTTTAGGTTTGGGGGTCAGTCTCTCAACAGCAATCCTATAGCACAAATTAAGGTTGAACCTGTTCTTATTTGTTAAGCAGTGCCACTGTACTCAATAGCTGAATGGGGCCCAATGAAAGCTTTGTTTCCCTAAATAGGCATTGACATACACATTGATCTCATCCAAGGAAATGTAGTCACTTTTTTGGCAATCCCAGGATTCACAAATTGGAAGTCAAAATAAAAACAAATCCAGTTTGCAAATATTATGTTGTCTTACTCAACTGTGACCAATAATCAATGTGAATCTGTTGGAAAAATTCAGGGATGGGCAGGCTGCGCCTTGAGTAAATTCAGTGTATCTGATGGACACTACTGTCCCATTCTTTTACCCCCAATCCACCTCCTCTGCAGAAGACATTCTATACATTTTCCTTAAGGTACAGTTGAACCACACGCCATGAAAAAATCAACTCCTCTTCTAGACTACAACTTCAATTGTGAAGATTTTCTATATTTAATGTAATAATTTTTCTCTTTTATTTAAAAAATAATCCCCTTCAGAACTGGATTATTGTCGACAAAGGAAAGCAGAAATATCTTGAAGTCATTCCATCTGCCTCTATCCAAAGATCTTATCGAAGAACTTCTGTCAAAGTAAGTTCATAATAGGATAGAGTAGAATCTTATTTTTTTGTAGACAATAAGCTAGAGAAAAAAAATGTCTGTGATAGAAGCATGATAACAGATGTTCAGTATTTAAGCAATATTGGGGCTAAATTATTTTTGTCATAAAGGATTTTTGCACAAATCTATTTCTTCCCTTCTCTCCAATTTTTAATCTCTTCTCCCGACGAAGCATAGAATCTTGCTGAGGTATATTTTCATGAGTCCCAACAAACCTCTAGTACCTAATGATGAGTAAATGTGGACTGATCTTTGGAAGGCTAAGAGGATGTGAAAATATCACAGCCAAGTCTAATTCTGTCATTATCAGATACCCTTACATGTGCATTTTCCAGCACTGGCCACTGGTTAATGATTAGGAATGATCTACCACCCCAAACCCCCTCCACCCCCATATCTCTGGACATTAGACACATTGTCTTTCCTGATTGAATGAAGTAAAAACTGTTCCCTCTGTCAATGCTATTCTGGAGATTGCCTTAATCTACCTAGTGAAAAGAGTATGCCAAGAGGCTCCCCCTTCCGATGATGTTACGGAGATTATAATTGTGAGGAACTGCAGATGTAAACTATTATTCAACCACTCGAAAAACAAACTCTATTTCTCTTTTGTAAAACTGATACAAAAAAAGCATATTAACTTGAAACATACAATTTTTCACCTTCAGATGAGGTTTGCAGAGGCATTTAAAGTTACAAAGTGAAAGCCTTGCTATATAGGCATATTGAATGCTAACATGAGCTCTTGGAGGGGACTTTTTTCAATTTAAAACTTTGTTCTTATTGATCATGTTATTGTAATTCAAATTAAATTATTGTATAAAACACTTGGAGATGTTTTGAAGTGATGAAGCACTTCTGTCAAAGCAAGTTCAAAGCAAGTATATTTGTGTTTAATATTATTGTTTAGTTGTGGTGTAAGTGTTTGTTTGGGATCCATACAGGTTCTAATGATGGAATGTAACAGGCAAAAAATAGATGAATGCTCTGTGTTTCAGGGTTGAAAGTAGAATCTAATTATTTACACTACCACTGCACTTTTACTCGTGTCTATTGAATTTGTTTCTAAATGTTTTAAGGTTTAAAGATGCTGAAGGACGGGTGCAATATACAAATCTAATCTCAAGCATGAACTGGAGGGAATACCCTCTCCCAGCTTCAGAAGTTGCACAGTACCCCAGCAAGGTAAACACATGTGAAATGCTTCAATGCCTAAACTCTGATACAAACTGTATTGTTTTACAGTATACAATGCTATTTAGATTTTTGTCTTTATAGTATTAATTGAGGCTGACAGATGTCACTCTGTATGATCAGTTGTAATTGATCTGTACAGGAATCATATCTCATCAAAGCAAGACCTACTCCTTTGGATCCCAGTTCCTACTATCATTTATTTGTGGAATCCTGTAGCTCAGTGGTAAGAGCACTCACTTCACAAGCGAGAGAGCTGGTTCAATTCCGCAGGCGAAATGTTG